ATATTATATATTATATATTATATATTATATATTATATATGAGAAAATCTCCAGCTATTAATTAGTCTCACCATTATTTGCTGAAATTTGTGAGCAGTTGAGAGAATAAAGTTGGGAAAAGGTTTAAGATTGTTCAGAATCAGTTGCGATGGTTACCGATGGTTTAGCTGATTAAGCAAATTATTTCAATGTGCATATCAAAATGAATTCCCATACATAGTTCTGACGTTGACGTATCATAGTTTTTCATCTGTTCTATGAATCAAGAAAAAAAACACATGAACAGTTAGCGTCAGTATTGGTTTAGTTGCGCCAAAGCCTTTAGACGTTAGCTAATAAAAAAAATTTTTTTGGTTAGTTAAAGCACTGTTTAAGATTAAACGTTGTTTTCGTTGTTTTTAAAGCATATAAAAAAGTGGTGAATAAGTGGTGGGAATAATTAATTTACCCAGGTGGATGGTGTTATACTGCAAAAATAAATCGTTTGAAAGGGGAAGTTAAAAGCTTTATAAATTTTTTGTTTTGTTCTTTTTAGAATATCTTTCTGATATATTAAGGATTAATTGATTTACTTCTTTATAGGCACCGCTTTAATGGATATTTAGTGCTGCTGGGTTGCTAAGACGAACATTAATTGAAAAGTATTTTTTGTCTTTATTGGTATTTGAGCTGAACAAAGTAATTCTCTAATCGTTCTGATTGTTCTTTTTTTATTTATAATTCTTTGAACCGTTACTATAAATTTTTTCTATCGTCGTAATATGTTTGGTGCTGATATATTACTTAATAGCTCATTAACTAGCTGGCTAAAAATGGGTAAAAACATAATTTTGAGAAGTAGTCAATGCCATATTGGTGGCGCTGTGTAGTTAAATAAAAGAATATTATTTATTTGTTTGCTTTTCATCTCACTGCTCTTTTTTTTACCAAAAGAAATTACCGATTCAGTGAGCCGCAAAAGTTTTGGCAGCGATCTGTAGTTGTTGCCGGAACTTTGGTGATAAGTGATTTATCAATAATGACAGTGGTCACTTTTACCAATCAATCTGTCTCTCTCTGATGAAAGTGTAATTTGGCGATTAGTTGCTGAAAAATTGATAGTTTGGTTTTCTGCAAATACGTGAAAGAAAACCCCTGTTTTTTGTTGAATTACTGCCGTATTTTGTGAATGACCGATAGTGATGAAACCAAAAAAAGAGTAATACTACCAAAATTTTTAGCAGTTATTGAATTTGAGAAAATTTGTTTGTGACTGTACTATTCTGTTAGTTGGGTAGAACAAATAAAAAAATTTCTTTTAGATAAATGTTGAACGCGCAATTGCAATTTTTTGATTAAAAAACGCACCTAAATCTACTGTTTTGTTATGCTCAAGCTAGCAAAGGTTTGACAATTAAATGAACTATTGTGCTGATAAAGGCAAGAAACATCTTGAGGAACTCTTGATTACATAAAAAATTTAGAAGTACTTTTTTTTATTATTCAAACTTATTTTGGAAAACATCAGATCATTTGTAATTATTGATAAAATCAAAAAAAAGAAACAGAAAAAACTTTAAAAAAAGCGATTTGTCAGTCGTGTTTTTTGCAATTTTTTACTTTTTTATAGAGAAATTTTCTCTGCTAACTACATTTACAAAAACATATATCTCTTTCTTTGAAACTAAATAAGCATTATGAAAATAATAAATTTTTTTGTTGCAGCGTTATCTGACTAAAAAACAAATGTGTGAAAAAGGAGAGCTGGTTAAATTTGACAAAACTACAATATAAAAAAAGCAGAGAATTTGTTCTACGTAAATTCATTACAACAATTTTGAAAAAAATTTGTTTCAATTTTTATATTTTACCTTCTATTACTCATTATCTTAACTTTCAATTTATTATTGACGTCAAAAAAAAACTTTTTTGTGTAATGCTTAATTTTTGGGTTTTTACAACTAATCACCACTATAATATTATCTATTCTATATACTGCTTTAGTTAATAATACTGTAAACAACATTCAGCATTCAGTGTACTTCTGGTGTCGGCAGTCTCAGTAGGGTTTTGAAAGCAAAAAATCTTTTTTTTTTTTCTCGTGTTTGAATCAGCTGCAGAAGTTCCAGTGCATCTTGTTCCGAAGAACACTTTGACACCACTGTAGCAGATTCCGCAGCTGGTGCGACGGACGAAGATATCAGAAGAGACTCAGGCGCCAGCACACCACTACATCACCATCCAAAACCAGCAAGTGTAGCTCAAATTAGAACCATGGTGAGCTTCATTAGACTGTCCTAAATCATATCAACTTTAAAAATTTCGTAGACTTTAGTCTTACTTTTTTAATTTCAAGCCTTATGTACGACAGTAAAATGCTTAGTGTATAACAGCACAAAAAAGTTTTATTGCTGGTGTTCAGAAAATTGTATTTCTATTTGAAGGAAAAAGTGGATTATTTAAAAAGTGGTTGACATTAAGTTTACTTCTAGGCCACAGCAATGTTCGACCTGAATATGGGCATCAATAGAGAGCCCCCACAGGTGCCAAGTACAGATAACGTCGATTATCCCCGAGCTGCATCTTGGGCAAATGCTAATTTACACGAGGTTCTAAAAGATGAAAAAGGTTTCTTTTTCACCGCCAAAAAAGAATTTTTGACCTTCTTGTTTTATTGTTACTCTTTTGTTAGCTTTTTCTGTAAGCTGCTAATGTCAGTTTCTTATTAAAACCGCATTCAAATTGCTACTTGTCAAAGAAGTAAAATTAATCTTGGGACAGAAAAAGAAAATGCAAAAATAGGTTGAGGAAAAAAATTGTAAATAACTATTATGGCGATAACCTACATTTAGTTTCAGGGCGGCAGCTACTACTAGTCTTTTTACATAGTTCGTTAGCTGAAGAAAACCTGTATTTTGTTGAATCAGTTAAACAAGTTATGGACGAAAAAGATCCGCTGAAAAAGAAAGATTATTTTGAAGAATTTTATCAAAAATATTCACCGTGTGTTAATATAAGTAGCGCAGCAACACAAGTTTGTTTTGGTTGATACTTTTGACTTTTTGTTTGCAGACTAAATTCGACAGATCTGTAAATTGTCAATGCTACTGTTGTTGTTTTCATTGTTTTTGCTGCAAAAAAAAAATCGAATTAAAGGCAATACGTGAAGGTGCGCAACAGCCTGATCCTGATATGCAAGCCGCATTTGGATTGGCCTATAGAGAAGTTAATGGTCTACTAGAGCGTGATCAGTTTCCACGTTTTAAACGATCGGAGGTTTATTTAAGTTATCTTGAAAAGCTCCTGCCACGAGCATACGCCGAAAAATGGGCAAACAGTTTTGAAGCTCTTCTTGGTAATCAGGTAAACACCCTATAATCGTACAGTCCTGCAACTGTAATATATAGAAATTATACATCTGTAGATGTTTGTTCACTGGTCTGCATTTAATTCTTATCGGTTACATCACCGAATTTCCAGCTGGGCTGTTTACAAAAAAAAAAAAAAAAAAAA